AAAAAAAAAAAAAAAAAAAAAAAAAAAACTTAGAAATTTCAGCCTCCTCCCCCAGTCCTCAGGGAATGGGAGAGGGGTTGGAGATTGTGCTAATAATTGGTCATCCCAACATGATGGAGCCTGTATAAAAAATATCTAAACTATGGGCTCTGAAGAGTTTCTGGGTTGGTGAACACAGTAAGGTACTGCCAGGGTGGCATACTAGGACAGGGCATGGAAGCTATGCACCCCTTTCTGTGGGTAACCCCCCATATAGGCACCGAGGAATGAGAGCTAAGCAGAGCCCTGGCACAGTTAGGGCTTGAAGAATATTTCACTTTATAGTGTTACTACTCAGCTATTTCCTTTATATTTCCTTTACATAATCATATATTAGCTTATAGAAATAGGGCTTGAAGGTTCCCTTTATATAAGCCTCTCTATATAATCATATAATAGTTGATAGTATGAGTGCCTAAAGAATATTTCCCTACATATATACCTATAATTATATCTTAGTTCATAATCGGAGGAATGCCTAGAGTGGACACAGTACAGAGCATGAATTAAGGAATAAGTAGCTTATAATCTGAGAAATGCCTAGAGCAGATACAGTGCAGAGCTTGAATTAAGGGAAAACAGTTATACCGGGACAAGAATCCATGGCCCAGGCAGCAGCGTTCAGTATCGTAAAGATACCAGCTGTATGGCAGGCTTGGGGTGAGGGCCACTCCTCCTGATAAAGGAGTTGTAGGACCTTGCTCCAGTTCTTATGGAAGGCTGTCCTTAGAACGGCAATCCACCTTGGTGACTGTGAACTTTATCAGCTCTTGCTACTGTGCTGCTTGAAAAGCATCTTCTCATAGAATCCGTTGGAAGCTGCCAGAAGGTGGCGGTAACCTTGACAGCTCTGTCACTGCTATGTGACTTAAAGCATCCTCCCATAAATCTTCTTAGAAGTAGTTTCCCATAGATAGAAGTATCACACACAACACCCCTTACTGCACATGGCCCTTGCCTTCGTGGGAACAGGGCCCTTGCCTTCGTGGGAACGGGCCCCTTGCTGCGCGCTGTCCACCTCCTGGCCTAGGTGACCTAATGGGGGTGGACCCTATGTTTTATTGCTCACGACCCTATCACTAACCTTAAAGATGATTTCACTCACTGCCCTACCCCCTAACCTATACACAATAAATACTCATGCTTCTGGGCATTCGGGGCCTCACCAGCCGCTCACCAGCCTCGCCAGGCGCCTCGCCAGCTGCTCGCCGCTTATAGGTGGTGTGGCCCCCCGAGCCCAGCTGCATTTTCTTTGTACTTCTGTGTCCTGTCTCTTTATTTCTCAGATCCTGCGCCTCAGCACAGCATAAGGCTCACCCTACGACGCTGTGGGGCACTCAGCCTTACATCTGGCTCCCAACGTGCCTTACACCTTTCTACATACTTCATCTGGTTGTTCATCTGTATCCTTTATAATACCCTCTACAATAAAGCATTCTGTGAGCCCTTGCAACAAATTATCAAACCTAAGGAAGGGGTTGTAAGAACCCCAAATGATAGCCAGTTGGTCAGAAGTACAGGTAAAAACTTGGCACCTGCAACTGACATCTGAAGTCTGGGTTTGGGGACAATCTTATGAGACTGAGCCCTAAACCTGCGGAGTCTGCATTAACTTTAGGTAGTCAGCATAGGAATTGAATTGTAGGGGCTGGGTGCGGAGGCTCATGCCTGTAAACCCAGCACTTTGGGAGGCTGAGGCAGGTGGATCACAAGGTCAGGAGATCGAGACCATCCTGGCTAACATGGTGAAACCCCGTCTCTACTACAAACACACACACACACACAAAAGAATGGAATTATAGGACACCTAGTTGCTATCTGGAGAGTTGGAGAATTGGTTGGTGTGGGAAAACTCCACATACATTTGGTGTCAGAAGTGTTGAGAATAGAGAAACACAAGTTTTCATTTTAAAGACCCTTCCGGGTTGAGTCAGAGAGCTGTGGTCTATCTCATCATTCCCAAGAGGGGATACAGAGGAAACAAATCCCTGTTATCCATCAACTCACCTGACCATAGAAAGAAAGATGTTCTGCTACTGTTAAGTTATCAAATAAGATATCATGTTGGGGGCACCAGCCCAGGCTCTTCCTAATGTGAAATATGTCTTCTGAGATTTCATATCCATTGACATATGCCCATCCACTTGTAGAGGGAATAAGACCTAGAACCAAGGGGAAGACAGATCCTGAAGTTATCTTCAGTCACAGCATACAGCAGCATAAAGGCCCGATGTTACCTTCTGCTTTGTTCGCTTGTTCTCACACACACTGTCCTTATTCTGCTTCTTTACCACAGTAAATCAGTAGTATCCAAGAAGTATGTATGTTCTATGCATAACAATGTACCAGGACATGTGGGGAGTATTAGAGATAAGAGCTATCCTCCCTACTTTTGAGAAATTCCAATGAGTTAGATGAATAAAACACACATAGGCACATGTAAAAGCAAATTACATTACTCTAAGTACTAAATAATAATTTGAATGCCTAGTAAATATGACTAAGAAAAATATTGTGGGAATCTAACAGTTTTGAATTGAGATCCCTGAAGGCAAGGTCTATAACTTATCTCTGATTCCTAATAAATATCTGTTCAATGAATGAATAAATGAATGAATGAATGCTCTCATTGCCAAATGTATGCCAGTGTAAAATTTGGCAGCCTGCCTACCCGAATACTATCATTGTCTTTATTCTCATTTTCTAAGTTTTTTTTTCTGGTTGAAAAAGGCAATAAGTTCTTATTGCAACAAGGTCAGAAAAAAATAAAACAAGTTATACAAATCCTATCATTAAAAGATAACTTCTGTTAACATTTTGCTATATAGCCTTAGGTATTTTTGTTTGTTTGTTTGTTTTTTGTTTTTTTTGAGACGGAGGCTTGCTCTGTTGCCCAGGCTGGAGTGCAGTGGCGCCATCTCTGCTCACTGCAACCCCCGAATCCCGGGTTTAAGAGATTCTCCTGCCTCAGCCTCCCAAGTAGTTGGGATTACAGGCGCCCACCACCATGCCTGGCTATTTTTTTGTATTTTTAGTAGAGACGGGGTTTCACCGTGTTGGCCAGGCTGGTCTCGATCTCCGGACCTCGTGATCCACTCTCCTCAGCCTCCCAAAGTGCTGGGATTACAGGCTTGAGCCACCGCGCCCGGCCCCATAGTCTTAGGTATTTTTTATGTATAACCAACTCATACATTTATTTTTTAACAAAAATAAGAATATAAATATAAATTCTAGTTTTCTAACTGGTTTTTTTTTTCTTTCTTTGAGACAGGGTCTGGCCCTGTTGCCCAGGCTGGAGTGCAGCCGCACGATCTCAGCTAACTGCAGCCTCCATCTCCCACGTTCAAGCAATTCTCATGCCTCAATCTCCTGAGTAGCTGAGATTACAGGTATGTGCCATAATGGCCCCCTAATTTTTTTATTTTTAGTAGAGATGGGGTTTCAGCAAGTTGGCTAGGCTGGTCTAACTGGCTTTTTCATTTAACAATGTATTGACGCCATTTGTCCACATCAACAAAATCTCTCTCTCTCTCTCTCTCTCTCTCTATATATATATATATATATATATTTTTTTTTTGAGACAGGGTCTTGCTCTATTGCCCAGGCTGTGGGCATTAGTGTCATCATGATTCACTGCAGCCTTGATCTCCTGGGCTCAAGCAATCTTCCCATATCAGTAGCTGGGACTACACATGTGCACCATTTTTTGGGTGTATTTTTTGTAGAGACTGGGTTTTGTCATGTTGCCCAGGCTGGTCTCAAACTCCTGGGCTCAAGCAATCAACCTGCCTCTGCCTTCCAAAGTGCAAAGATTATAGGCATGAGCCACAGCATCCAGCCCTATATCATCTTTAAGGGTTGAAAAGATTTTATTGTTATCAACATACCCTATTTCTTGATTCAGTCCAAACTTATGGATGCTTAGGTTATTTGCAATTTTCACAATTATAAACATATGATATAACTTTGCCTGCTTCCCAATTGTTTCCTTATTCTAAATCAATATAAGCAGATTTGGCAAGTCAAAGACAGGACAAGACTTGAAAGACTTTTGATACTTATTGCCAGATTACCCTCTGGTTGTCAGATCTTCCATTTTGGCTGTGAATAAGAAAGCATCCATGATTGTTTGGGGGTAAAAAGGGGAAAAGGTAATACTATTGTATAGTAAATATAACAGGTCTTTTAATGTAAAGTTATAATAACAGAAGAACTAAATAGCACTCATAAAAGAACCAAAAAAGCTGCATAACTTTAGAGGACAGAGAAACAGGGTCTAAGATACAAAACATGCCTGTGCCAAGTTTTGGGCCTTTCTATCACCAGTTACGAAATAGCAGCTCTTTGCTGTCTGATGTCCTAGGCAATTAGCCAGATTTTCCTTCCCAGCTTTAGCATCTTCAAGGCTACTGAATCCCATTATGCATGCTTTAGTGATGACACTTTCCCCAGGGCAGTGTTAGCTTTTTTTATGTCATGTCACCATTGGTGGAAATCCATGGCAGAGCTCTGATATATCATTCCCAGTCTGCATTTTGGCAGTATTTGCAATTATATTAATCAATTCTGTCATTCATTCAATGATATTTATGGAATGCCTATTCTGTGCCAAATACTATTCAGACACCGTGGATCCAGAAGTAAACAGAACAGGCTCCCTGGGGAGAGGGATGAGGGGGAGACAGAAGAATAACTCACACACATATCTGACTTGGCTCTTTGATCTCTTAGCCTAGCCAGCTCACGCTTCAGGCAGTGAGAACCTCACAGGCCTATATAGGGGGAGAGGCCTTTCCTAAATGGTCAACCCTATCAGGAGCAACAATGTCTATATCTGAAAGAAGACTATCCTTTCAGAAACACTGCTGTGCCCCAGTCCTGATGGGTACAGGCCTGCTTGGTAAGTGCCTGCTGGGCTGAGATTTGCTTTTTGTTGTTTTTTTTTTTGAGATGGAGTTTCCCTCTTGTTACCCAGGCTGGAGTGCAATGGCGCAATCTCGGCTCACCACAACCTCTGCCTCCTGGGTTCAAGCAATTCTCCTGCCTCAGCCTCCCAAGTAGCTGGGACTACAGGTGTGCGCCACCATGCACAGTTAATTTTTGTAGTTTTAGTAGAGACGGCGTTTCACCATGTTGACCAGGGATCTCTTGACCTTGTGATCCACCCGCCTTGGCCTCCCAAAGCGCTGGGATTATAGGCATAAGCCACCGCGCCCAGCCGAGATTTGGTATTTAAAGCGCTGATACCAGAGGGGTGCCCAAAGGCACCTCTGGTCCATCTTCACTATTTTGCTGCTCCTCAAATGCCTTCAGTGGAAGAATCATCAGCCACATATGAGGAGCATCAGGGCAGCTTAACTTTGAGGTGTAATATCTTCCCAGCAGTTTAATGTTCTGTGTGCATTGAGGGGGAACTAGTTAGCTTTTAGAGGTTCTTGTGGGTTGAAAGCGCATCTTGCTGGCATTGTATGGAGCTTTACACATGTTAAGACTTCAATAAATTTACATTTCGTAAATAAAGGAGTTTCTAAATTTCACAAAATATTATTTTAGTTGATGGGATATGAAACAGTTATTTTAGCATAAAAATTACTCTGAAACACAAATCATTTTGGAGTCATTCACCAGATATTATTCTACAAGTGCCCGTGGCAATCAGAAGCAAATGGAAAGATTATTGTGTTGAGAGATTAGTGGTGCTGCATTGTAGCAGAAAGGTTAAATCTAGAAAGAAATGCTAAGCACTGTTCATAGGTTCTCTTTTTTTTCATCAGTTTCTTCAGGTTGAATGATCAGAGCTTCTTGATAGTAATGGTATAAAGTTTTACAGATTGACAGAAAGCCAAAGATTTCCTTTTCCTGGTGCAGGGCAAATGAACAACCAGACAGTTGATATTTTAATATTAAGCAACAAGCAATGCTTAATATTAAAATATCAGTGAAATCTAATGAGAGGAGGTGAAACAAAAAATCTAGATATGTTCAATGATTTTTTTCAGAACTTCCTCAGGATGGCTGACCCCACACATGTACCTGTGAGCATGAAGCAAGTGGTGGTTTTTCCTGCTCCATTGTGTCCCAGAAGAACAGTGATCTGCCCTCTGTACATGTTCATGGTCAGACAGTTGACTGCTATGTGTTTAGTCCCTCCTCTGTGATATACCTGTGGAAAAGTCAAGGTTGACTGACAGTGTAACCTGAACACAAGAATGACATTTCTAAAGAGCTTATGACAGGCTGCACACATACATAACTTCTCTTAAAAGCTCAGCAGCAGGAATCCAAGAGGAAATCTAAAAAGGGACCCCCTTCTTTTAGCATTTAACTCCCTGGAGCTGCTGAGGAAGCTGAGCAGGAGTAATTTCCATGGGGATCTTCTTCCTGTTCCCTGGAACCTGGTGTAGAGAACCTGAACCAGAGGGCTGGGAGCTCCCAGATGCAGTGTGGTGGCATGGAAGGCACTCCTCTCTGCTTCTGGAGCCAGAACCTGCTTAGCGTAACCCAGCTGAGCCCCTGAGAAAGGCACCTTGCCTCTTTTGCAGGAGGTGTTGATGTGAGGAGGGAGTCCCAGACAGAGTAGCCTGTTTTTCAAGTTAAATGTCTCCAGTATTTTAAATACCATTGATTTTCCTATTATGCAAATAATTCGTACATTGAGTAAAAAGAAGAAAATAAAAATCCTACAGTACATCCCAGAGATAGCATCACATTATAGTATACCCTTCAGATTATTTGTGTCCTGTCTAATGGCATTGGGGCTGGGTTTGGGGTCTGGAGTCCAGATACTATAGTTGGATGGTATTTAGTTGTCACTTCTTCCACAATCCATCTATAGTCATCCCTCAGCATCTACGGCGGACTGCTTCCAGGACCTCTGCATATACCAAAATCCATGTGTACTCAAACTTGGTCCTAGAGGCAGTCCCCTGAAGTCCTGGGAACCCACCAGCTCAAAAAGTTGCTCGGCCCTCTGTATTCGCAGGTTTCAAATTCCCCTAAATACTGAATTTTTAATCTGTGTTTGGTTGAAACAAATATATAAGTGGACCTGAGCAGTTTAAATCATGTTGTTTAAGGGTCAACTGTACTTACATTTGGGAGCAGAGAGCTGTTGAAAGGCATTTGGTAAGCTCTCCCTCCCTACTCTCACATCTTTTCTCTTTTTTGTTTTTTTAAGTTGAAGTCTCACTCTGTCTCTCAGGCTGGAGTGCAGTGGCGCAATTTCAGCTCCCTGCAGCTCTGCCTCCTGGGTTCAAGCGATTCTTGTGCCTCAGCCTCCAGAGTAGCTGGGATTACAGCTGCACACCACCACACCTGGCTAATTTTTGTATATATATATTTTTTAGTAGAGATGGGGTTTCATCACGTTGACCTGGCTGGTCTCAAACTCATAACCTTAGGTGATCCATCTACCTTGGCCTTCCAAAGTGCTGGGATTACAGCCATGAGCCGCTGCACCCAGCCTTTTCTCAGTTGTTCTAAATCAAGCATGACAGTCCTGTTCCCTGACTTCTCAGTTATCCTTACAGTAGAGGTGACCATTTGGCAGAATTCTGGGCAATAAGAAAAAGGGGTACTCTATTATATTAAAGAGAAGGAAGGAAGGGAGGGAGGGAGGGAGGGAAGACAGAAAGAAGGAAAAAGAAGGAAGGAAGGAAAGAAAGAGGGAGGGAAAATTCTTGCCAAAAGGAAGCATTTTAAACTTTATCTTTCCTTATAGGAGAGCCAAGTAGCCATCTTGCAACCATGAAATGATAAACACACAGATGAAAGCTAATAGGCTACGAATGACCCAGGGAAAATCAATCAAGCAATCAATCAATCAGAAGATGCTGTGGTCTGGAATGCTTTTGTGGAGCAGCTGAAATCATGCCAGAATCATCTGCTGGCAGACCACTAGTTATGTGAAAAAAGAAAACAGGCTGGGCGCAGTGGCTCATGCCTGTAATCCCAGCACTTCGGAAGGCTGAGGTGGTTGGATCAGGAGGTCAGGAGTTCAAGCCCAGTCTGATCAACATGGTGAAACCCTGTGTCTACTAAAAATGCAAAAATTAGCCAGATGTGGTGGCACGCACCTGTAATCCCAGCTACTCAGGGGGCTAAGGCAGGAGAATCGCTTGAACCTGGAAGGCAGAGGCTGCAGTGAGCTGAGATGACGCCACTGCAGTCCAACCTGGGCGACGGAGCTAGACTGTGTCTCTTAAAAAAAAAAAAGAAAACAACATCCCCACAGTAAGTTGGCTGAGGAGTCAAGTATTCCTAACTACTAACTGTAGTCCACAGAGGAGCTGGAATTATCACCCATTTCCAGAATCCCCTAGGCTAGGATGGTATCTACTGGATCCCACCAGAAGGCAGCACAGTGCTGAGCTGGAGCATCCAACGTGCAAGTGTGGCAGCAGCAACGGCACAGAGTGTCCTACATAGCTGAAGAATGGAAGATTTCAAAGCGAATGCTCTGTGGGAGCCTCCAGCTTACATCCAGCCATCCTGTTAAAGGAGTCCTTAGCCAACCCAGGGCTCTGCATGTAGCAAGGACTCAGCAGACACTTGTGAAAGAACAAATGCCTCCACTTCTACATCGAGAAGCCAACAGTGATATCTGGCTTAAAATGTGATTTGGGTATATAAAAATGTTGGTGGATAAAAGTTATCCATCAAATGGCTGAATTACAGTTAATCCCTAACAAGGAGTATTAGGCAGTGGGAGGATGAGAGGAGACTGTTTTCAAGAGACAGATCATCTAGGCTGGGAGCAGTGGCTCACACCTATAATCCCAGCACTTTGGGAGGCCAAGGCAGGAGGATCTCTTGAGCCCAAAAGTTCAAGACCAGCCTAGACAACATAGTGAGAATCCACCTCTAAAAAAGAAAAAAGAAAAAAAAGAGGCCATCTAGGCCTTTCATCCAGTCATTTAACTTTATGACAGAAAACAGGACATTTCAGGTTATATTTCTAATTTTTAGGACAACATGACAGAGGGAATTAAAATTCCCAGTCACAAAATGTACATTGTAATCCCAGTTAGAATAAAACAGAAGCTTATATGCGTAATTTCTGGAGTTCTTGGAAGGAGATTTGTGAGGTGATACCTTGTACAGATGCTGAATTTCAATTCCTTTGATCAAATCTGTAGGCTCTTCCTGAATGAACTCACTGTTTGGAGCTTTTACAGGACCCCTCATGTCCAGCAGTGATTGGGTAACAAGCACAGGCTTTCCATGCCAGTAGGAGGGCTGGAGGGGAAATCAATTTATGCATTAATCATTTAGGCAAAGTGACTTCCCTTTCTGGAAGATATTTTGGTATATTAGAACACCCCCGCCCCCTGCCCAGAGAAGTGAAGCAACTTGTTCATGGACTCATTACGAATCAACTGCATTTCAACCTACAACCCACGGTCCTGAAGATGGAGCTACAAAAGATGCCTCCTATCCAGGCTCCTGATGTACCAGGGAAGCCATCCTGTCAGCACTCATAGTCCTTGTGGGCAGAGGCCTGGATAAATACTGGAGTTAACAATCTACTCATTTCCCCACACTATAAGAAGGGTGAGCGTGGCAGCCTTTGTAGAGATCCTAATGAGTATTTGTGCAGAGGCAGGATCAGCAGGCAAGCCCATGGGCAAGGCCAGCAGATGCTACTTCAGGAGGACTGAATCAGGCACGAAGAGCTCAGCTTTGTAAGAAAAACTTGGTCATCATGGGAAATAAGTGATTCTGAAAACTTCCTGGGGTTGTTAACAAATGCTCTGTCCCCTGCCAGTGTACTGATAGTCACAGAGGTCTTGAAGAGCTTCAGGGCCATCCCAAAAGTGCAGCTCATTGGGGAAAGAGGCAGAATGAGGACTCTAGCATGTTGAGAATTAGGTCTCATGAGAGAATGTGGGGCCTGATGTTTGAGTAGACACATGTCAGACATCTACAGACACTCCTTGTGGGGGACTCTGCATGGGACAGATGGGGCTACTCCCAGCCCAGTGCATGAGCAGGGAGGCCAGAGTCAGAGACATTGAGACATACCATTAGTTACGCTCCACTGGTAACCACAGCTGATAGGTTTGGGACGAACCCAGGTTAGAGATTTCCTGAGTTTGACATTTTACTGAAGACAACACCAAGAGGAGTAGGAATATTGATGACACACGTAAAAAAGTCTAATGTCAACCTACAAAACAGCAGCATCAATACTCACCAGAGCAAAGAAGTACCAAGGCTTGGGTATACCATACTTCCCTGGAAAGATGGACTCCACATACCAGGCTATTAAGCAGTATAAGAAAGAGTCCAGCAGCAGCAGCAGCAGCACCTGAGTGAAGTTAAACTCTCCACGTACACTGCCCATATTCCTCCATTGGATGCCTGTGCCTGTTATAAAGGAAGAACATCACTCATCACATCTAAGACAGAGAAGAAGCTGGGCATGGTGGCACACACTTATAGTCTACTCAGGAGGCTGAGGTGGGAGGAGAGCTTGAGCTCAGGAGGTCAAGGCTATAGTGTGCATTCAGTGATCATGCCTGTCAATAGCCACTGCATTCCAGCCTGGGGAACATAGACAAATCCAGTATCAAACAAACAAACAAATAAACAAAAAAACCAAGACAACAGAGAAGAGTTACCAGAAATTTATAATTCGTCGTGAAACAGGCCTATGACAAGACTAGACTATTTGTGTCTGAGGCCTTGTGGGGCCAGCTCTAGCCACAGGGAAAGGAAAATCTAGAGAAGTCTCTCCTGGAAGATAAAACACTTTTATTATTGTCAAAAGTTGGTAGTACTTTCATTGGCACCAAGAAGTAAGAATTAGGCTATCCAAAACACATCTCCACACATCTGCACCTGCTACAGCAGCATTTTCCCACTGTTCAGCAGCTTCTTTGCTTGGATAATTCTTATTTCAGAGATCAGCACAGACAGTTCCTTACCCAAGAAGCACGTGTACCCATGCTTCTTGTCCTCAAACTTTTAACAAGTTTCCTAATTGCTGGGGATCTTGTTAACACACAGATTCTGATGAGATCTGTTCGGGTGGACCTGGGATTCTGCATTTCTAACAAGATCTGTGGGAGTGCTGATGCTGCTGGTCTGCAGATCACACTGTGAGGAGCAGGGCCAGGTGACCTCCAAGGCTCTTTCAGCGATGAGATTCTCTGATGTGTGTCTGTCTGTGTGCCCACCAAGAACTCTGCCTTTTGCTCTATCTTTGGATTATAAACACATCTTGCACACCTCCGGATTCCAAAGCTGCAGCCTAACGTTCACAAAGGTCAGGTACTTCCTCATCCAATACAAAGTATGCAGTGTCCAAACAGAAGACATAGACAAAGTTCCTTCCCACATCAGTAGACACTTGATTGTCAGTTTATTTTTATTTATTGTGAATATACATATAGAAAAGTGTACAATTTAACAATTATAAATAAAATACCTATGAAAAATTATTATGCAAATCACCGCCAAATCCCAAATGTGCACACCCCATCCTTATATTGATGGTTTTATTTGTTGTTGTTGTTTTTTTAGATGGATTCTAGCTCTGTTGCCCAGGCCAGAAGTGCTGTGGTGCCATCTCAGCTTATTGCAATCTCCGCCACTTGGTTTCATGCAATTCTCCTGTCTCAGCTGGGATTACAGGCATGCGCCCCCACGCCCGGCTAATTTTTGTATTTGTAGTAGATATGGGGCTTCCTCATGTTGGCAAAGCCGGTATCGAACTCCTGACCTCAAGTGATCCACCTGCCTCAGCCTCCCAATGTGCTGGAATTACAGGCGTGAGCCACTGCACCCAGCCTACTGATGTTAACAAGGCACCATATAGTTGGGTTTTGCTTTTCAATTAAACCTGCTCTTAACTGGTATGTTTAGATCACTCACATTTAGTGTGATTATTGATGGTCTGGATTAAAATATATCATCTTGCCAGCTTTTTTTCTATTTGTTCTGAAGTGTTCTTTTTTTTTTTTTTTTTTTTTTTTTTCTTGCGTTAATGGAGAATTTTTTGGATTTAATTTTATCACCACTATTAACTTACTATTTAAACTTAAAAAACATTTAGTATAAGCCAGGCATGGTGCCTCGTGCCTGTAATTCCGGCACTTTGGGAGGCTGAGCAGGCGGATCACTTGAGGTCAGGAGTTCAAGACCAGCTTGGCCAAAATGAGGAAGCTCCATCTCTACTACAAATACAAAAATTAGCCGGATGTGATGGCGCATGCCTGTAGTCCCAGCTACTCAGGAGGCTAAGACAGGAGAATTGCTTGAACCCAGGAGGTGAAGGTTGCAGTAAGCCAAGATAGTGCCACTGCGCTCCAGCCTGGGTGACAGAGCGAGACTCCATCTCAAAAAAAAATTTAGTGTTGCTTTAAGGTTTACAATATATACCTTTAATTAGTCAGAGTTTATCTTAAAATAATATTATACTCCTTCATGTGTAGTTTAAGGACTTTACAACAATACATTCCCAGTTCTTACCTCCCAAACTTTATGCTATGATTGTTAGACATTTTACTTTTACATAAGCTATAAACACAATTTATTGCTACTATTTTTGCTTTAGACAGTCAGCTCTCCTTTAAAGCAAAAAGAAAAAAAAAATAGAAAAAATAAATCGTGTTTTCCGTTTTCAGTGCTCTTAATTTGTTTGTACCAAGTTTTTGTCTGGTCTGATTCTTTGTGCCTGAAGAGCTCACATCTGCTAGCACTTAATTCTCTCAGTTTTTGTTTATTTGAGAGAGTCTTTCTCTATAATTTTTGAGATATTTTCACTGGGTGTAGAATTCTGAGTTGACAACATGCCAAGACCCCTGTCCGTGATGTAATCTCGGTTCACTGCAGACTCTGCACCCTGGGCTCAAGCAATCCTCCCACCTCAGCCTCCCAAGAAACTGGAACCACAGGCACACACCACCATGCCTGGCTATTACTTTGCATTTTTAGTAGAGACACGGGTCTTGCCAAGTTGCCCAGGCTGATCTTGAACTTCTAAGCTCAAGCAGTTCACCTGCCTTGGCCTCCCAAAGTGTTGTGATTACAGGTGTGAGGCTTTTTGCCCATTTTTTAAACCACAAAATCAAATTTCTAATGAATTTACATGAGATCTTTAAGCATTTTGGATGTAAGCCTTTTGTCAGTTCAGTGTGTTGCAAGCATCTTCTCCCCCTTTAGCTCGTCTTTTCCTTCTCTTTGCGAAGCCTTAATTTTATTATCAAATTTTTCATTCTTTTCCTTTATAGTTATTTCTGTGTCTTGTTTAAGCAATCCTTCCTACTTCATGGACATCAGTATATCCTTTTATATCATCTCCAAAAAGCTTTATAGTTTTTTGAAATTAGAATTGGCTTTGTATGGTGTGAATTAAGAGTCTGATTTCATTTTGCTCCATAAAGTTATCCAGTGGCCACTGGACCATTTATTGAATCCCCATCGTTCTGTAGTATCTTCTCTAACATATAACAATGCACTTGTCTGGCCTTTTTTTTTTTTTTTTTTTTTTTTTTTTTCCTTTTCCCTTTTTCTTAAATTTTAGAATCAAATCAAGTTCCATTAAAAAATAAACTGCTGGGCTGGGCGTGGTGGCTCACGCCTGTAATCCCAGCACTTTGGGAGGCCCAGGCAGGTGGATCATGAGGTCGGGAGATCAAGACCATCCTGGGTAACATGGTGAAACCCCATCTCTACTAAAAATACAAAAAAATTAGCTAGGCGTGTTGGCGTACGTATGTAGTCCCAGCTACTCGGGAGGCTGAGGCAGGAGAATCCCTCCCATCTGGGAAGCAGAGGTCACAGTGAGCCTAGATTGTGCCACTGCACTCCAGCCTGGGCAATAGAGCAAGACTCTGTCTCAAAATAAATAAACAAAAATTAACGCTGAAAAAAGAACAAAAAAAAATAGAAAAGAAAAATAAACTGCTGAAATCTGGATTGAATAGAAGTTAGATATTACCTCTTTCCACAGTATATCTCATTATGTTTCAGAGCAGGGAGCTGCTGAAAGGAATTTGGCAAACACGCCTTAGCCCCACATCTGTTTGATCTTGTTCTAAATTGAGTATGACAATCCTGTTCCTGATTTCTGTTTCCTTTGGAGTAGAGGTGGCCATGTGACATAATTCCTCTCCATTCCCTACTCTTTACCTTCTTTTTGACTCAACTAATCTATCGGTTATTACATTTTCTTTCCACTAGTTTGAAAGTTATGCACTACGTCTAGACTGTTGGTGGGTGTCTCACGGTAATGAATTATACCATGTATACTTTACTTAGCAAAGTCTAAAGTTAATCAGTATCTCTACTATCCTTCCAGAAAGTATTTATTCCCTTTTGATTTCTGACTTTATCCCCTCAAAAACCCCTCTTATGTATTTTAATTCTACCCCTTTAAAAAAAACCCAAAGACATCTTTGTTTTTATTATCATTATTATTTTATACAGTTAATATAAAATACCATTGTTTTCAGGCTCCCACTATGGCTTTTTTTTTTTTTTTTTTTTGATGGAGTTTCACTCTTGTTGCCCAGGATGGAGTGCAATGGTGCAATCTCACCTCACTGGAACCTCCACCTCCTGGGTTCAAGTGATTCTTCTGCCTCAGCTTCCCAAGTAGCTGGAATTACAGGCGCCTGCCACCACTCCCGGTTAATTTTTCTATCTTGTTAGTAGAGACAGGGTTTCACCATGTTGGTCAAGCTGGTCTCAAACTCCTGACCTCAGGTGCTCCACCTGCCTGGGCCTCCCAAAGTGCTGGGATTACAGGCATGAGCTACCGCGATCAGCTACTACCACGATCAGCCACTGTTGCGCCTTTAAAAATCAGTTTGTCTTTTTTTTATTGGGCTACTTTTAAGATTTTTTTCTCAACCTCTGGTGTGCTCAGTTTTACATGGGTATGCCTAGTGTAAAGTTTCTTTTTATTAATCTTATTTGAGATTTGCTGGGCTTCCTGAAATCTAGTTTTAGAACAGATTTGGCCTGTCTCTTTCAATACATTCCCTGTGCCCCATTCTCTCTTTCTCTTCCTACTGAAGCTCTGATTAAATGCATGTGAGTCCTACTCTACTCTTTCCTGCATGTCTCTTTCAAACTATCTTCCATATTTTACATCTTTTTTATCATCTATGCAACAGTCTGGATTATTTCCTCTAACTTATTTCTAATTTGCTAATTCTCTTTTCAGCTGTTTCAGATCTGTTAACCTATCCACTAAGTTTTAAATCTTGTTATTGCACTTTGCATTTCTAGAAGTATTTATTATTTCCACCTTTTTCATACTTTCCAGGTCACTTTTAATAGTTCCTATTCCTATTCCTGTAGATATTTTTCAAGCTTCCCTTTCTAAAAAGCTTAAAGGCATTGTTTTATAATCTGTATTCTGATAATTAAAAAATTTGAGGCCTTTGTGAATCTGTTTGTACTTTCTTCTGTTTCTGTTAGTTCTCATTATGGTGGTTTATTTCAGCATATCTTTTTTTTTTTTTTTTTTTGAGACAGAGTCCTGCTCTGTCACCAGGCACCAGGCTGGGGTACAGTGGCAGGATTTCGGCTCTCTACAACCTCCACCTCCCAGGTTCAAGCAATTCTCCTGCCTCAGCCTCCCGAGTATCTGGGACTACAGGTGCACGCCACCACACCCAGCTAATTTTTGTATTTTTAGTAGAGATGGGGTTTCACCATGTTGGCCAGGGTAGTCTTGATCTCTTGACCTCGTCATCCGCCCACCTTGGCCTCCCAAAGTGCCGGATTACAGGCATGAGCCACTGTGCCAGGCCTCCTCATATCTTTTTTTTTATTTTTTATTTTATTTTTTTATTTTCCAACTGTCTAGTGAGCCTACTGATCCTTCCTTCTCATATCTTTAATTACTTTTTACTGTGTTGCTTATTGACCTTGAAAAACTATTTGTGAGGATTTACCATGGTATAGGATGAAAAGGTCTTCCTCCAGAAAGGATGTGCAGTTGCTTCTGCCAGGTACCTAGGTGGGTGCTCTATCATTCCAGGACAATCTTAAATCAGTTCACTGCTTAAACTTACCTGGCCTACTCATGCAATATGAATCTGGACTGCAATACCTCCAAAGAACTAGCTAATAATTTCTCAGGGGAAATTTTTTCTTTGTTTTTCTTCCATGATATGGTCAGGGCCATGACAACCTTCCCTGAGGTCCTCTGGGTTAGGAAGAGATGGTATATGGATATGGAGACGTATTTCCCTGATTCTGTTGGGAGTGCTATGGCAGAGGGCTTTTAGCTGCCAGACCCTTTGGGATGTCTCAGTTGCAAAGTGTCAAGCCCAACGTCATGCCCTTTCTTAGGTAGCTCATATCCAGTGACTGATGGAGGTGTAAAGGCCTAGCCATTTCAGCCCAATGCAGGACACATGTGGGCCATTTTTGCTCTTTAACTCCTCAGGGCTGTCAGGACCACACTGCAGCTGGACTTTTCCCTCTGCTTGTCTTTCTTCTTCCCCTTTCCTTACTCTTCTCCACAGGTGTTATCTGAAGGGCATCCTAATAAACATTTGCACACTAAATTCCATTTCACAGTCTGTATCACAAAGAACCAAAACTGTGATGATTGGATTTATTTTTGAGTTATATTTATCCTAAGGTGTAGCCCTCTGGGTCCCAGATTAATGTGGAGAGGGTCTCCTAGTATGCTCTCTACCTAGGCTAAATCCTGGGCTTTGATGTCTGATTCCCTTGTCCCGAAAGGCCATCCAAAGGGAAGCCCCAAGTTTTCCTTTTAGTAAGTGACCTCTGAGAAAAAGTGGCTTGGTATTCTGTTCACCTTTTAGAGTCAACAGTTTGCCTGAGGTTTTGGCCTGGTGGTTCTTTACTATCTTGTGCTACCACTTTGATTCTCTTGAGGGATGCTCTTAAGAAACTAAAAATTTAGCCCATATTTTTAATTATTTTCAATAGGCGAGATGATCTGAGTAATCCTTGGATTTCTGTTTCATTAATCATACACTTAGAGATTTCTTCCTGCTCATGATCATATGCATCTGTGTTCCTTCAGCTGTAACAGGAGACAGCACTTGTGATCCACCCTGTGCCTTTCAGGAGGGACACTGATCACAAGCTCTACAAGGGCAGGGTACTTTCAAACCAAGAGAACACTAGAGTGGGGGCAAATCTAAGAGTTCATTCATTGCAACCTGTCACCTAAATTCTTTCAACTTTCAACATATAGGCCCCACAAATTACTCACTAACCTATAAGGAATCATATATAGCATTTAAAATCTATTTGTTCCCGTGAACACTTGTAAATTGTAGTTTCACCATTGCTTTTTTAAAGGAAACCACTTACTTTCAATAAATTCTGGCCAACTTAATATCCTTTATTATATTTTGGACAGCTTTAAGCCCAAAGCCATTTGGGCCATGCCAGCTTAAAGAATTCATTAGTAGGTAATACCTCTAACCAGGTCATTGGGGATATCCCAACCACAGCAAAGTGATCCACAAACTAGATCCAATTTCAAACTCCTATTCCTGCTATGTGCTGCTAAATGAAGCTGTAACATTTGGAAGCAGAATTCTGGTGAGACCAGCTAACACTGAGTAACGAAGGTGCCTGCTAGAGTGCTCACAGTATATCATCTTAAAGTACCACCAAAACTGGAAATAGTAACAACTAAAACCCCACAGGGCTCAGTGGGTCCTACAATTTGATTGATATTTGGGCTGTAATCTTTTGCAACAAATTGTAAATGTTTTCAGTAATTCTTCAAATTTGAGAAACATAAGACAAATGAAAAGTTGGGACTGCATTCCAACTGTGGACGTTATAAGGGAGCTAGAACACCTCTCACGGAAGGTCCCCTATACTAACCTGTGAAAGAAGATACCCCAGGCCAGGCATGGTGGCTCACACCTATAATCCCAGCATTTTGGGAGGTCAAGGCAGAAGGACTGTTTGAGCCCAGGAGTTCGGGCAAGGCCAGACTGGGCAAAATACTAAGACCCTGTCTCTACCAAAAAAAAAAAAAATTTTTTTTTAATGAGCTGGGCATGGTGGCACCCACCTGTAATCCCAGCTACTTGGGAGGCTGAAGCGGGAGGATCACTTAAGTCCTGGAGTTCAAGGCTGCAGTGAGCTATGATTGTGCCACTGTAACTCAGCCTGGATGACAAAGTGAGACCATCTCAAAGAAAAACAAAAAGAAGAGACTCCAAAGGCAATAATACATGTAAAAAAATGTACCATGATTTGTAAAGTCCTAAAATATTATCTCAACTTATATAATCACAAATCTATTTTTTTAGCTATATAATTATATAGGCATATAATTTCCTAATTCTTTAATATGCTTTAGTTTTTCTCCCCAATTACAAAGTAAGCTGCCTGGGGTAAACCATATTCTACTTTTCTTTAGTGCCCCACACAATATCCACCACAGTTGCGAGTATGCTCTAAATGCTTAGACCACTGAATGGGACATGCTAGTTATGTTTATTGGGAAACAAAATTCAGCCTTGAAGGGGCAAAGCATCAAGGCAGCTTAGAGAGTCTGGGCAAGATAAGGCTTACCTCTTTCCTCAAATATAGCGATGAATCGGACTCCCAGTGCCATGGCAACATTTGAGAACAGGCAACAGGCAATCTTTTGGAAGTAGCTTCTCTGGATGTAGCTGAACATGAGGTATGGGTATGGGAGGTAAGTGAAGAAGAAGATGATGCCTCCTACAGCAGTTCCGGCATGGGCTACAAATTCAGAGGAAAGACATGGAGAAAGTTTCATCAAAAAACTATCTATGCACAAAGAACTATGGCCCAGGCTCCTTTGCCCTGCCATGACAAGGAAAGTGTCTAGGCATTTCAGGAGGGAAGCAATCATTTCAGAAATTTTGTTAGAAACCTTTTATAGTTGTGCTCTCACTAGTGAAAAATGAACACTTAAAGCATTTTTTTAGAAATGAATAGGGCTGGGCATAGTGGCTTATGCCTGTAATCCCAGCATTTTGGGAGGCCAAAGCGGGTACATCACGAGATCGGAAGACCAGCCTGGCCGAGATGGTGAAACCCCATCTCTACTACAAATACAAAAATTAGCTGGTCACAGTAGCTGGTGTCTGTAATCCCAGCTACCTGGGAGGTTGAGGAAGGAATTGCTTGAACCCAGGAGGTGGAGATTGCAGTGAGCCAAGATCATACCACTGTACTCCAGCATGGGCAGCAGAGTGACACTCCATCTCAAAAAAAAAAAAAAAAAGAATGAATCCTTACATAAGGGCACAAATATCTAACTCTGCCTAAAACTTCCTCTCTCTAAAACTGTATTAATGTTTCCTATAATAAAAATCCTCTTCAAAGATGAATAGTGGATTTGTATAGCATTGATTAAGCACTGCCTTGGCACTATGATAAGCACTTAAAAGACATCATCTTATTTAATCTTTGGAACCTTCCTATTTTGCAGAGGAGGACACGGATAGGAGGACACGGATATATGTAAATAAATGCTACATGAGCTTAGCCACATTAAATAAACTTGCTCAATGTCATGGAGCTAGTAAATTATGGTCATGGATTCAGGGTTTCCCAGGCTCTGAACAGTGGCTCCAGATAAGGCTAATCTAACTGAAGTCTGGGAGCCGCACTCAAGTTAAATGCAACATTTGACTTGTAAGAAGTTAAGTGAATAAGGATTTAAAATGTGAGAGTTTTATATGTAAAAGGAAAAGTTGCAGTTAAGGCATGAGGCAGCCCTTGGCTGAACCTGGTCACATGAACTACTAGCTGATTATCTGTAACTTCTCCGAATCCCAGTTTCTTCTTTTATAAAAGGTAATAATAATTGATAACATTTACTAAGCTCTTACTATGTGCCAGACACTGCTCTCAGCATTTCACGTGTAATATCCCATTTAGCCCTCACAACTAAGCACATATCACTTTTATTTTCACAATTTCAAAGAAGGGGAAATAGATGCAGAGTCTAGTGACTTGCTCAAACTCAGGGTCACAATGAGATGCAAACAGCACTCAGAGGACAGAGCAAGACCTTTTGACCTCAGCGAGAAAAGGACAAAGGCCACTGTCCATTTGAGGAGTCAGAAAAGGTTTAAAATAACTATCTCAGAGAGATGTGGAACAAATGAGGGAATATGGTTGGATTGCAAGTCAGTGCTTAGGGCCATCGTTTGAGAATTGAAGATCTAAATGAAAAGACCAGACATCACAGTAGTGAGTTTTTCTCCAGTCAAGTTTTTTTTTCACAGTCTGGACACTAGGTGTTTACTGCTATTGGGTTGTCATTGCTTCTAGGTCTTTACAATGGACATGGTAAGGAAATACATTAATATATCTTTTTTTTAAAAAAAGAGTTTAGGTCAGGCGTAGTGGCTCATGCCTGTATTCCCAGCACTTTAGGAGGCCAAGACGGGCGGATCACAAGGTCAGGAGTTCGAGACCAGCCTGACCAATATGGTGAAACCACATCTTTACTAAAAAAAAAAAAAAAAAAAAAAAAGAAAAATTACAAAAACTAGCTGGGCATGGTGGCAGGCGCCTGTAATCCCAGCTACTTGGGAAGCTGAGGCAGGAGAATTGTTCGAACCCGGAAGGCGGAGGTTGCAGGTTGCAGTGAGCCAAGATTGCACCACTGCCCTTCAGCCTGGGCGACAGAGGGAGACTCTGTCTCAAACAAAGAAACACACAAAAGGGTTAATACTGACAATTCTAGTTAAGGTTTATGATTATAGGGTTTTGCCTTAACTTCTTTGGTATTACATTTGTATCTCTCCTCTCTTTCTTTCTTTTTTGAGACATTGTTTCACCCTGTCACCCAGGCTGAAGTGTGAAGTGCAGAGGCAGGATCTCAGCTCACTGTAGCCTTGACCTCCCAGGCTCAAGTATCCTCCAGCCTCAGCCTCCTAAGTAGCCGGGATTACTGGCGCCTGCCACTGTGCCCAGCTAATTTTTGCATTTTTTGTAAAGGCAGGGTGTTGCCATGTTGCTAGGTTGGTCTCAAACTCCTGGCATAAAGTGATCAGTTCACCTCAACCTCCCAAAGTGCTAAGATTGTAAGTGTGAGCTACTACACTCCCAGCCTAATTCTTTTTGTTTGCGGGAATAAGCCCCCAACTTGAAAATATTCATTTATTGGTTTTTAATTTTTAGAAATTGCTTTTACAATTTCCTTTTGTATTTAAAAATTTCAATGGTTTATATTGTGTGAAAGGAAGAATAAAGGCTTCCAGAGACATCCACATCCTACTCCCTGAAATCTGTAAATACATTTCTTATAAGTAACAAAATGGGCTCTGCAGATGTGATTAAGTCAAGAATTCTGAGATGGTGAGATCAGTCTAGATTATCTGGATGGGCTCAATGTAGTCACAAGGGTCCTTAGAAGAGGAAGGCAGAAATGAGAAATGGAGAAATGACAGAAGTAGATTTCTGAGGGAGACAGACTAGAAAGTGATCTGCTGCTGGCCTTGAAGATGGAGGAAGGGGCCATGAGTCAAGGAAGCAGGTGTCTTCTAAAAGCTGAAAAAGGGAAAGGATTCATTCTCCCCTACTGTCTTCAGAAAGAACACAGCCTAGCAAGGTGAAGACACCTTGATTTTAGCCCTGCAAAATGCATGTCAGATCTTCGCTATCAGACAGTAGATGTATTTTGTTTTAAGCCACAAAGTATGTAATCGATTGTTACAGCAGCAACAGGAAACTGGCATACAAGATTTAAAAGGCAACTGTATAATAATTAACATCTTAAACTTTTAACAACTAAGTTTGAGTAATACCAGCTTAGTCTCAATAACATACCAACACTCTGCTCATACACCTCTCTGCCCCCTCCCTTTATATTGTTGTGACAGATTGCATCTTCATATATTGTGTGCACATTAACATAGACATCCACATTAATACATATGCACTTGCCTTGTAAATCATATAGAAAAAAAAGGAAGTGTTATGGAACAAAAGTGCATAATACTGGCTTTAGTTACCTTCACCAGTGGCCTTTATTTCTTCTAATGGCTTAGAGTTACATCTAGCGTCTTTCTATTTCAGCCTGAAGGACTCCCTTTAGCATTTCTTGTAGAGAAAGACTATTGGTAATTAATTCCCTCAGCTTTTGTTTATCTAGAAGTATCTTAATTTCTAGATAGTTTTGCTGGATATAGAGTTCTTGGTTGAAGGTTTTTTTTTTTTTTCCTTTCAAAGTTTAAAATATGTCATACCACTTATGGTTACAGAACCCTTATGGTTTCTGTAAAGAAATCAGCTGTTAATTTTCTTGAGAATCTCTTGTATATGGAAAGTTCCTTCTCTCTTGCCGCGTTCAAAATTCTTTGTCTGGATTTTGATAGTTTGACTATAATATTTCTTGCTGTAGATTTCTGAGTTATCTTGCTGGGAGTTCCTTGCGCCTTAGGGCTTTGTAAATTCATATATTTCATCAAACGTGCAGAGCTTTCAGCCATTATTTCTTCATTGTTTTCCCCTGTCTCTCTCTCTCTCTTCTTTGGGACTGCTATGATATGTAGGTTGATATGCCTAATGGTGTCCCACAGGCCCCTTGGGCCCCTTTCCAACAAAGAAAACCTAGGACCAGAAGGCTTCACTGGTGAATTCTACCAAATATTTAAAGACAAATTAATCACTTTGGGATGGTGAGGTGGGCAAATCACGAGGTCAGGAGTTCAAGACCAGCCTGGCCAACATGGTGAAACGCTGTCTCTACTAGAAATACAAAAATTAGCTTGGCATGGTGGTGCGCATCTATAATCCCAGCTACTCGGGAGGTTGAGGCAGGAGAATTGCTGGAACCTAGGAGGTGGAGGTTGCAGTAAGCCGAGATCGTGCCACTGCACTCTAGCCTGGGCAACATGAGCAAGACTTCATCTCAAAAAAAAAAATTAATACCAATCTTTCTCAAACTCTAGATTTAAAGATCAATGGAATAAAACATAGAGCCCAGAAATAAACCCTTACATATATAATCAATTGATTTCCTAGAAGGGTCAAGACTATTCAATGGGGAAAAGGATAGTCAGTTCTTTTTTTTTTTTTTTTTTTGAGACGGTCTCGCTCTCTCACCCAGGCTGGAATGAGAGACATGACCTTGGCTCACTGTAACCTCCACCTCCTAGGTTCAAGCAAGTCGCCTGCCTCAGCCTCCCCAGCAGCTTAACCTACAGGCATGTGCCACCATGCCAAGCGAACTTTTTGTGTTTTCAGTAGAAGCAAGGATTCACCATGTTGGCCAGGTTGGTCTCAAACTTCTGACCTCAAGTGATCTGTTCGCTTCAGCCTCCCAAAGTACTGCGATTACAGGCATGAGCCACCATGCCTGGCCAAAAAGGACAGTTTTGTAACAAATGGTGCTGGAAAAACTGGAAGTCCACATGCAACAGAATGAAGTTAAACTTTTACCTTATACTGCATATAAAAACTAACTCAAAATGGAACAAGGATCTAAACATGAGAGCTAAAACTCTTAGAAGGTTGAAAACAGAGAGGAAAATCATCATAACCTTGGAAGTGGCAATGATATGTTAAGTATGACACCAAAAGCACAGGCAACAGGCTGGGCGCAATGGCTCACACCTGTAATCCCAGCACCTTGGGAGGCTGAAGCAGGAGGATTACTTGAGGTCAGGAGTTCAATATCAGCCTGGTCAACATGGTGAAATGCCATTATCTACAAAAATTAGTGGAGGATTGTGGCATGGGCCTGTAATCCCAGCTGCTCT